TTGATCCAAAGGGAAAAAAACGGGACAGAAATTACAAATCAATTAAACTGAATATTTTTCATATTTTCTCTTTGGTGGGATAAACATTCATGGAGAGTTGAAATTTTTTTTTTCTTTTGGCAGGGGTTACTACATATTTCACCTACAGACAAAGAGTACTTTTCTGTTTGGTTAATAGTGAGAGGTGAGGTAAACCTTCAGCAAAAAAAGAAGATACAGTATGTCTTATGGTAATAGGAGCATGATCGGGAGAGTCATTGTTCACTGTTCGGACGTAGCTGAAATAAATTAAATTCAACCAAGAAACAGCTGCACATGTTTGGTCGGTAGTTAGCTCTGCAACTACAGAGCCTGAAAACAAGTGGTTTCTGCAGAGAATTGAGGAAACGTGTTTGCTGACGTGACGTGTTTGCTTGAAGATTGTAAAGGTTAATCTGGACCAACCCTGGAGAGAGTGGATATACTGTAAGACAAGGAGAGGGCCCCTTGAGTTATGAGACAAAGTGAACATCATGGTCTCAGTGATGGAAACTGCTTGGCCCAGTCATTGCTATCAAGCTTTTGCTTAAATATCGGGACTGAAATCTCCCCACAGCTGACCTAGAGAGCCAATCTTTAGCAATTCTGACAACCCCCTAAAATTCAGATTTCAGCCACTGGGTGATGTCAAACCCTTTCCATGTGTACAGTATATAATTTTGTGTCCTTACTGTTTGCAATATATATGCAATTATAATCAGATACATTTGAGTGGTTTAAAAACAAACCCCACTCCAGTGATTTGATGATTAAGGTTTACTATTCAAAAGGATTAGCTGAGCTCAGTGCTAAAGGTTAGCTGCTCTGGTTTTTCATACCCATATTCCAGCACCCAGAGGCTTGCATGTGGTTAAGCACACAGGAGCAGTTGCAATCTTTGGTCACTCTTTTGAGTTTTTGGATGGAAAGAAGGCATAGACTCATCTACTAGTGCTTTATTTAATATAGCTAAGATCATTCTGGCCTGGACAATATAACCTAGGCCTTGTAGCAGATTAACAGCAGCTTGGTTCTCACCTCATGCATCATAGTCCCTCACCATGATTAATAGACTTCTCAGAGGCAGAACAGATGCTTTTGCTTATAGGATGGTTTTCTTCTTTAAGGGCAAAATGGAGTTCTTTGAGTGTTTGAAGAAAGTATTTAATCACCAGAGCAAGAGATTGAAAGATTTGATTAGTGAAAAACATCCTTTAGCTCCTTTATCAAGGGCTCAATCAAACAATGTCCTTCTCAGTCTTCTCTAGGCCACTGTTTTAAGAACACTACATACAGAATCTGTCGTGGGCAGGAGATGCCACTGCCTCTGCTAAATAGCTCCACGATTACAGCTGCTGTGCTTCCATCCTGGAGGGAATCAGAATCCAGGTGGCCTTGCTGCTGCTTTCAACACTGGATGCAATCAACACAGTTGACAGGGCATCACATTTTTGTCATCATCCTGCCTGTCTTGATTTCCTGCTGTAGCTGCTTGTCTTATTGGAGTCGGCAAGAATTCCCTACTGCTCACGGCACATGTCAGGAGGAATAGGTGGATCAGGGAAACCAATCATGGCTCTTCATAAATCACGGCCGCTACCAGACCCCCACCAGCCTGCTCTCTTGACAGCTCCTCGGTGGGAAAAGGCTCTCCCCACTCAACATTGGCTGCTGCAGATGGGAGGAAAGGACTGTGTTGCACAAATAGCAAGAAGTTGAATCCAGTTTGTTTTTCAAATCACTCACTGGACATGTGCAAGGCATGGAGTTCCTTCACACAGCAGAAGAGGAAGAGCATAAGAAGGCCAGGCACAAGGAAACAAGTTGCAGTTCCTAAAGGCACTCTTTCCTGGTGGGACCACATCTTTTCTTGACAAGGTCTCAGTCCTTTCTAAAAGACAGTGTCCACATTCTGCTCCACAGGTGTTAATACCCTGTTCCCAGGTCTCCACTGAGAGGAGGTGTGTTTGACTGGAATGGATTGTGGCATCATGCAGACTACCTGGTGTGAGATGTTTCTTTTTAATCTTTAGTAAAAGTCCTCCAGCTTTTCCCATATTGGTTACCCAGCTGGAATACAAGATGTCTCCAGAGACTGATTAAACCTGAGAAGAAGCAGATGATGAATCTTCAAAATACTTTTAAAATCTTTTTTACTATAAATATAATCTTTTCATCCCTTAGTATTAGAATAGCTCTCCAATACTACACCACTACTATTGATCGTGGATAACATCTGCAGAAAAGCAATATTAAGAAATATAAAGTCCTGTATAAGATGATGTATCCTGCTCCTTTCACTCTTGCTCTTTAAAAGCTGTCATTTGGCAGTGCCAGGGGTGCTAAAGCATCGATGTGATTTTGCAAGCTGTATATATAATCTTAAAGTACATATTACTCACTAGTTTAAAGACTACAGGACGCATACAGGGAAAGAAACGCTGTTACACTCCAATGTCATGCTAAAAACCGAGGGATCACAAATCAGTGGGGTTCTGGCTGTGCAAGCAAACAGGCTTTGAATACAAACTAGGAAAAGGCTCAGGTTTGAGGTGCTCAAGTGTGGATCTCTTGCTAACTGCTATCCAATGCACGAACTACAGAAGAACTTAGCAACACGACCCCCCAGATGAAGGGTATTTCTGTACAGTATTTGTGCCCCAGAGAAGTTGTTTACTGTCTGTACTGCAGTTGTTAAACACCATGTGTTACCTACTGTACCATGTCTAAGACGCTGTAAGTGAATCACCATGTTCATCGGGAGGAGTGAGTGATAGGTTCAGCCGGACGAATCATAAGCAGGAGTGTAATGAGAGGCCTGTGCCCAGTAAGAGCCACAGGCTTTCCATTGTTTTGAAAACCCTCCACCTGCAGTTGTGTTTCCTGTTTGCCGCCAGTTCACTTCAGTCAAGGCGTCATTAAACGGAGCTTTGGAAGCTCTGGAAGAAAGTCTTCATGATTGGATGGGAGAGTCTGAGCAGCAACGTATTCCTCCAGTAGACAGAAATGACAGCGCGTGTTTTTAATCTCACATTTTTCACTGCGTGTTTGTCAGCTCAGAGATTATAGAGTTGCATTATTACAATCCTTAGGAGCCGTCTTTCCTGATAGTCGCCTCTATTTATCTCCCATTGCTCCGCTTTCTCAATCTGCCTCTCTCCTTCTGTGTGAAAACCTGCCCATCAATTTCACGTCTGCAGTGTTGTCAGATTAGCATCTCCATACCTGCCTATAAAACAGTCCAATCCATTTACAGAGGCCTCCTGAATTCTCACTGCAGAACAAATACCAGACAGCTTAAAGACACAGTGTCATTTTTTAAAACCTTTACACTGATTTCCCAATCACAGCGTGCTGTAAATCCCAATGTATATTCCTTAATGTATCATTTTAATTGGCTCCATACGTTGCATGCGTACGTGACAGAAAAACCAAGGATCTTAAGATGTGGCAAACTTCATCACAAGCCACATTTTCACAGACAGAGGCATTCAGACATATTTACCCAATCTCTTCATCATCAATAGCACTGCCAGATTTATCTTGGTGCTGCTTAGATATGGAAATGATGTCTGAGCCAGCGAACTGACTCTGTATCTGTGAATGTGCCAAGTGACAATGGCAGACTCCTCATTCTGAAGTCCCAGGTACAAAACCTTGTGATCTCCGCAGCGTCGGTTTTATAAATACACCTCCTTGCTATCCACTGTGAACAGAATATAAATAACTCTGCCAGTCTTCCTCAGCACACTTTTATGTTCCCAACTATTCTGCTAATATTAGCTGGCTTTGTCACATGGGCAAAACCTTCCAATGGCAAGGAAACATCAAACTGGGGGTCAGAATGAGGGTTATCGGCTTTCCTCACGTCAGGGCAAAAGAATAATACTTTTAAAATACCCAACAAAATGAAATACGGGACCGGTTGCATCTCACACACAAGCTGATTCCTGTTGTTCTCATTTGGTTCTATCGTAGGGGGGGACATTCTGCAATCAGGTCAGAAGCTGGGCGCCAGAGCTCCACAGCAGGAACCTCGCTGCAGAGAAACAAGGTGGTTCTAGCAATGCAAAATGGAGCTTTTCTTCAGGACTAGTTTCTCGCTTCTTTCACTTGGTGACCCCAATTTTTGCAATACCTGCTGAGGACACTCTTGCATTCTGTAGGTCAAGACTCCTTACAGAACGGGTGCAGTACAAATCGCCATCTACTGGCTAAGAAGACCCTGTGCAATCGGGGTGCATTTCACAGGGCTCACAGGGGAGGGCGCTGCAAGAACAGGATCCGATTCAGCGCTCTGTTTTTTGAGAGATCTGCTTTTCCTCCTTAAAGAGAAACTGCATAAGTATGTGATGAGCAGCAGATTCAAAACGGACAGCAGGAATTGCAGTCTTAGTTGAGAATTTCACATTCCATATAAAGTCAGCTTAGGCTTATGCCTATGCTTATTGCTTCTGCTTCTCAAATGAGATAAAATACCAGGGCTCTTTGCAATTTAAAAATAATTTCTGATTTTGTCATTTCTTTTACAAGTATTCTGTAATTATTCAGCACTCAAAAAATAACATGCTGCCAATTTTATGGCGGACAGATTTTTAATGTACCTATTAAAAATAAAACCAGCTAAGACTTAGATACACAGCGTGGAGTTAAAGGTATTGGAGTGATAAGGAACACTCCCTACACAGTTTTACAGCTCATCACAGTAGCTAGAACCTGCTTTCTGCGATTTCCTGTGTCCTGTTGAAAGTCTGGTTAATCACTGCTTAAAAAGTTGGCGAAAGTGATGCAAGATTTAAGACAAATGTCAATATTTGCTGAAGATCGGCTGCTTTAAAAATCTGGATTAGCTCTGTGCTTGTCAGCAGACAGGACAAAGCACCCAGATGGTACATTCGCAAAGCATTTTAAAATTAAGCCTGTACATCACGTTATAATGGTGTCTTCCACATTTAAAGACACAAGTTTCTGAAGACATCGAAGCGAGATGAGAAAGGCCCCCCCAGAGCAACAGAGTCTAGCTAGGAATGCATGGAAGATCTTTAAAAAGAAGGTTCACATCTCGAACACACTTCCGCTGACACTCACACATACACACCACCTCGCACCATACAACCAATCGGTACAGTCAACACAACAATCCACTCCACCAAATTGCACTCAGAATCCACACAAATACAACACAAACACACACACACACAACCTGTCTGACTGTGGGTGTGTGTCGACAGACACACCACTCTAGAGATTGAGGTAACCTTTTGTGTCCCACAATGTAAACAGCCTGCTGTACTTTGGAGCGCTTCATCGATTAGATGACTGATTTCTCCTGTCTTCTCAATCTGAGGATTTCTCAGAGTAGACATGATGGCAAAAATCTTCTTGCTTTTTATTATCTCTGTGGTGACACAGGAATGTAGCCACAACTGTGAAGGTATGTCCCATTTATCTGTTTTTTATTTGCTTATTTCTCTGTGTTGCTGATGACTTGATTGAGAACAGACAGAGTAACTATGAGGACAGTAGAAAGTGTCCCCAGTGGCTTGACCAGGCTTATTCATACCCTGATTATGAGCTGGCCAGACCATTCCCAAACAAATGAGGAGAGCTGGGTGAAGTCTCTGTATGTAAATAACACTTTTGTATGCAGATCGTATTACATTTCCATCACAACGTTGTTCTTGTGAGCTTGCGTATCCCCTGTGTGGATTTTCTTCTTAACCTGTAATACGGAAACATGGTGGGTTTCATTTCCATTTAATTTACTTTCATCTTAACCTGCAGTTTGTCCTGCTTGTTCTTCTCTTTCTTGTGTTCTTGTCTCCCCTCCACACACACGTCTCTGTACTGGCAGCTCCTGACCGTCTGCACTGATTCTCTGCGGCTCTTCCTTATTCTCTCGTGTGCCCATGGTGCCTGTGGCCCTGTCACCAGCAGGTGGCGCGACTCCTCCTGGGTCACTGGTGGCCCTGATAATGACTTGCCTGGCTTCTCTGCCTTGTGAGGTTTGCTGAGCTGGAGTAGATCCTTATTGTGTTAAAGCTTGTGTTCAGTGTTCAGACTCGCCTCCCTCCTCCCCTCCTCCCCTCTCCTCGCCTTGCAGCTTCGGTCTTCCTCTCTCTGCGCTCGGCCTCCGACGTGCTGAGGAGAGAGCGGCGCTACAACAAGGGATTTTTAGAGGAGATGTACCCCGGGAACCTGGAGCGCGAGTGCTTTGAGGAGAAATGCAACTTCGAGGAGGCCCGAGAAGTGTTTGAGAACAAGGACAAAACAGTTATGCTTCCTTTTTTCCTTTTCATGGGATTGCAGCCATAAATCAAACCATGCATAAATGGGTTTTTACGTGAAATAAATCCAAATACCAGTTCTCAGCTATTGTAACAAATGTGTTGATATAGTACAGTATTAAGAACTGCAATATGCTATGATGTCACGAATCGCATGACCAGCAGGTGGCGCAGGTGTGCATACCTGAAATTTGTTTTTTGTGACATAGGATAGCGGCATAGAAGACTAAGAGAAAGCACATTTGTCATGACTTATGTCTTGCCACCAAATTTATTTAGGGTTGGTTTTGTCTGGACTTGAATTTACAGGCATGGAGAGACTGGTGCATAAGTGAGATAATTTGTTTTGGGTTCAGGCTTGGTCTCACAAGAGCAGGTTTAGTAGGTCAAGAACCAGGTGATTTAGGGTTGGCTTCAAAAAGAACATCATGTTTCCAGACAAAAAAAACTTTAGGATATCCAAGAATCCAGTTATTCAAAAAGCAAAATATAAAAGGGAACCAGGATCTTTTTCCCACTACAAATAGTTCTTGTGTATTAATTATTTTCTCTTTTCTCTCCTTGCTTTCAGATGGAGTTCTGGTACAAATATGTTGGTAAGTAGTCAATCTATAATTATCATTATGAATCTTATAACACTTTAATTTATGGATTTTTCCTACTGTTCTTGAAGAATCCAGTCTCTGCTCCCTCACAATCGTTTCTCTCTTTGGCCTTTTCCCCGGGGGAGAGGAGTGTGCTCTCTGGTCAGTGTGCGAGTCCTTTCTTTCAGATGGAGACCAGTGTGCTTCCTCGCCCTGTCAGAACGGAGGCCTGTGTAAAGACGACATCAATTCCTACGTCTGCTGGTGCACCAGTGGGTTTGATGGCAAGAACTGTGAGATAGGTGAGAAGTGGGGAGGACACAGCCTCTCTATCTAAGGAGGAAAGGGCTGCCGGGCTATTTCTGCTGCTTCTTCTAAAAATAACATCTGTTTTCCAGGGAGTCGCTTGTTGGGATATCAGTTTCCAATTACTTCTGCATCCAAAGAAGTGGTTAGGTGACCTACAGTAGTTGTTCCTCAAAAGATGCGGCCCTCAGTTGTTCACCTCCCTGAAGCTCAAGTGCTACACAAACATAGCCGCGCTGGGGCACAAGTGACATGTTAGCTTATTGTACAGAACCATAACCTGCCACCAACGACACCCTCTGCACTCACACATGAACCAACCCACAACATAAACTGCCTTTCCTCAGCAGCTTCACATCGGCGGACAGTACATGGAAGCAAGCAGAGCTCTGTACTGTACATAACGCTTTACTACAGCTCAGGCCTGAGTCTTTGCACCACACTGACTGTACTACTACCCTGTCATGGCTCTGCTGAAGCCACCAGACGTCTGAAACACGTGACCGAGCCCCCTTGCTACCAGCAGGAAACAGAATTACGAGCTCCATACTCTCCTGATCCTGAGAGATCTGAATGCTTCATGAGTTAATGGGGTCAGCTATTGGCTCGGCCGTTCTAATTGCTTCTGCTCTGAGGCTTACCAGCCCCTGGGGGATTTCGGTTGTCTGTAAAAGTTCGAGGCTATGACAAGCCACACTCAGAAACAATTATTGGAATATCGGAAATCGGAATAAAAATACCCCCCCCCTCCCCCCTCCATACCATCACCGAGGACGTTTCCGCTGAAGTGTTTTCTGTGCCTGTGCAGAGACTGTCCGGCGGTGTGATCTGAACAATGGAGGGTGCATGCACTTCTGTGAGCCGCACCCTCAGGAAAAGGTGGCGTGTTCCTGTGCGAAGGGATACAAGCTGGCTGAGAACAGGAGGGACTGTGTGGCTGAAGGTACGATGCGCACAGTTCTGGATACCTACCCCTGCCCCTCAGACCTCACTTCATCGGTAACATCTGAGAAGGATACCACTGTTTTTCCACTCTACTGATGCTCCGTAGACAGATGAGTGAATCGATTTCAGCTTTTATTGCCGCAGTCAACTAGAATCCCACCTGGATAAAGGAAGAAAAATGGGTGGGTTGTAAGAAGTTGTGTCTCCAGGCGAATTCCAGAATTGAACTGAAACGTGATCGCTGTTGAGCATTTGCTGGTGGATGATGAGATTATATGTACAGCAGGTCTCATGTGAATCTAAAGGGCAGGTATCACCCACCTGCTCCTTGAGAGGATTCTCTAGCTGAGTTTCCAAGCTGCTGCTGGTCCCTGTTATAGACTAGAAAAGAACAAAATGGCCGAGTGGTCCTCGCGTGGCGTCCAAGCCCTGTCTCTCTGTCCCCCTGCCAGCCGCATTCCCCTGCGGAAAGCTGGGCCTGTCTGTCAGCTCCAGCCTGGCGGGCTCCCAGTCTGTGCGCAGGATCGAGGCGGACAACGAGACGGAGAGCTCCCTTCCGGACAACTCCACCGCCACGCTCACCCCCATCCTCGCCGACAAGAAACAGGAAACGCGCATCGTGGGAGGCAACACCTGCCAGCCCGGAGAGATTCCCTGGCAGGTCGGTCATTTAGGCTGCTCCGGCTCACTCGCGTGTCTGTCCGGAGGCCTGTGAGCCTGCCGGGATTCTGCGTTCCGATGTATGTATCCGGCTTTTTTATTTCTGTCCTTTCACACACCATGCCCAGACCTGTTTGCAAAACAGCATCGACAGATGTGTTTATGACACAATACTGCTGAAGGCAGAACTGAAATCCTTACTCTATTGTCATTCTATTCCTGAGGTCTTCTATTGGCAATGGTAATAGTTTTAAAAAGCCTTGTGTTACACAGATCAAGCTCTCGCACTCCTGCTGTTCACTCTCCTGGTCTCCTTCGCTGCAGGTGGTGATGATCTACAAAGCCAAGGCCCAGTGGTTCTGTGGGGGCTCCATCCTGAGCCAGAACTGGATCGTGACAGCAGCTCACTGCTTTGGCAATAAAATTCCTCTTCGCTCCATCATCATCAGGGCAGGTGAGTGGCGCACCCCCAGACGCCTGGGGGACAGACCATTCCACAAAGACTGACGCTCTTTAGCAGCTACAGTATACTGTGCAGGTTAAATCACAGAAGGCTAATAAAAATCAATTACTAATTCTATTTTTTGCACTGTTATAGCTGTGCTGTTTCTGTTATTATGATCTCTTTTCACGTTCCTTTGCACCTTGATGCAGTACCATCGCTGCTGCTGTTAGTGGTGTTCGACACGAGCTTGCACAGCGCTTGCGCGGTTCGGCTGCTTGGGGGTCCAGGGGGTTTGGGGGCGTCGGCGCCCCTGCCTCCGCTCACCTGGTTCGGTTGCCCCGCAGGTGAGCACGACCTGACCAAGGACGAGGGCACGGAGAGCAACCACCACATCGCGGAGGTGAAGATCCACCCCCAGTACAACAGCACCAGGAGCCAGTACAACCACGACATCGCCCTCGTGCGCCTCCGCGAGCCCATCGCCCTCCGGGAGTTCGCCGTGCCCGTGTGCCTGGGGCCCAAGGACTTCACCGAGGGGCTGATGCAGCCGGGCGACGCCGCGGTGGTGAGCGGCTGGGGCAAGCTGGCGCAGGGCGGGGCGCAGTCCGTCGTGCTGCAGAAGGTGGAGGTGCCGTTTGTCGACCGCAAGAACTGCAAGATCAGCAGCCAGACCGAGGTGTCGAGGAACATGTTCTGCGCCGGGTACCTGGGGGAGAAGAAGGACTCTTGCCAGGGGGACAGTGGGGGTCCCCATGTCACCAAATACAAGGACACCTGGTTCCTCACGGGCATCGTCAGCTGGGGGGAGGGCTGTGCTTTGGATGGCAAGTACGGCGTTTACACCAAGGTGTCGCAGTACTACAACTGGATCACAAACATCCTGGGCGCCGGCCTCTGACCTGCGGCTCCGCCAGGCATGTCCGCCTCTTCCCAGCTGCACCTGCGATGAAAGCGTCCACATTCCTGCTGTATTTAGATAGAGTCCACAGCACAGAACCACGGCGCTGCACATGCCCCGGAATGGAAATCTTCTCCACCTGTTGAAAAGCGAGCATGATGAAGTGAAAATGAAGTTTTTGCGAACTGTAGTTTAGTTTTCCCTGTAGTCATATGTGTGCGAGCTCCTAAACTTAACCCTGTAGTCAGTGCAGACTTGCATTATGGCTGAACACTATGACATTACAATGGTAGTCTCTAACTGCGATTTGCTCTCTCGGTGCATTTAAACAAAAGAGACATCAAACTAACTAATAAATTAAATTTAAGGCTTTGAAAATTGATCTGTATTGTCGTTCCTTTTTCTGCTACTTTTAGTGTTCATTAAATTGGCAGCATACAATAGGCACACAAAAAGCCTTTTCCTTGGGTAGGAATTGATCTACTGTGAAGGAAAAGGGGGAAAAGTCAGCTCTGGAAAAACAAGTCAAACACTTAAAATGGTTTGAAGGCAGGGAGGTAAATTTGTGATTACATTTTCAACACCCCAGGGGTCTGGACAGCACTCTTGGGATTTATTGAAGGTGAGCATCACTGCTTTCATTCTGGAACCTGGGTTAATAGCATTTAGGCCGGTAATTCAGATTGCTGTGATTTTTATTTTACAGTTTGTTCTCATCTGCTCCTGTCCAGAAGCCTCTATTGTTCCTGAGCTTTAGTGAAATGCACTGCACATAACTGTCCTCTGTCTAGCTACAATCCTGCGCTAATTCCCTTAAAACCATTTACATGATAAGAGTGAATTAAGTCAGGAAATAATGCTGAATAAAAATGCATAAAAAACTAAAATTGATAAAAAAGGGTATTGATGAGGTAAAAAGAAGGGAACTTTAAATATTTTAAAACTCAGAAAATTGGCTTGTCCAGAGGTTACATCTGCACGTGAAGTAAAGTGTGGCTAAACTAGAACAATCTGTGCCCTGGGTTAGCCTAATCCTCGTGTCTTAGTCTGCCCTCCTGAGATCCGACAGGTAAGGAACTTACCTGGATTACAGTGGACAAAACAGCTTTTAAATAACAGCTGCCAATGTCGGCTACAGCTAAACAATTCTACAACATTTTTCTTAATATACATGTAGAAATTTCAGTCTTACAAGAGCTCACTGAAGCACGCAAACCAATTTGCTAATTACTTTGCAGCTGTTCTGAAATAATTACAGAGAAGAGCTCACTCCTGGGCTTAACAGAATCTCCTGTTCCGACAGGGTAAAAAAGCTGAACCCTTTTATTCTCGAACAGACAGGAGATTGGGGAGCCTTGAATCCCATATTCTGAATCTTCCAAGGCCCTGACAATGTCACTGACAAACCCACGGGACGTCTTAATCAACCATGAAATGTGCTCCAGAGGACACAAAGAGAAATAACATTTAAATCTGAGAACAAGAGTAAAACACCATACCTTTACACAAAGGATTGTGGAGGCGTGGAACAGGCTACACAGCTAGTTATCGAAGGCAATATCCTGGCTTCTTTCAAGAATTATCTTGATGAGATCCTTGAACCAATTAGCTACTACCAAAC